GAATTGGTAACAAAGTTTGGATATGAGGAATTGGTTACAAAGTCTGGATATGAGGAATTGGTTACAAAGCCCGGATATGAGGAGTTGGTTACAAAGTCCGGATATGAGGGGTTATATTTAGATTAGAATAAAAGAACTTAAATCAGGTTTAACATTTATTTTCAATGTTTTATAGTAAACAAAATAAGTTAATGGTGAGTGAAATATAACGGAATTGATTTTAAGGAAAAAGAAGAAATTATGTAATGTTAATGAAAATTCATTAAATAAAGTATGCCACGTATGCAAAACAAATAATGTTACAAGGATTTCTTAATCGCTGTTGCATGATGATTCTTTCTCTTCTAATGTCATTCTCAACTTTTTCCGCATTTCGTTTTGATTTTGTTCTTGAAATTTTTGAAACGAAAGACACTTTTTAACTCTGCGTGCGTTATTGCAATCGTCATAGTTGAATGCTGGCTTTCTTTCCAGACAACTGACAACGTTTTCAATAGGTTTTTTCAATTTCAGTCCAGGTTTCATCACAAACAAGATTTTTATTAAATTGTTCATTGTGACAGTGTAAACGCTGGAAAATAGTTTCTTTGGAAGATTTTATATCATACAATGTTGACTTTCCTATGTTGAACTCAGCCATTAGTTACAATGAACTTTCACCAGCGTCTAGTCTCTTTAAAATTTCCACTTCTTGCGATAACTCCAAAGTTGTTCTTTTCCTCTTATTCCCATCATCTTTTGCACCAAATACAAGCCATTAGGGTGAAATAAGCATAAGCAATTATCCAAAGTAAATTTCCTGAAAAACAGAAATTTCAAATCAGTTACATATCACCAAAATAGGTTAAATATACACATCAAAATCATGTCCGGATATGCAAAATTCCGGATATGAGGGATTCCGGATATGAGGGATTCCGGATATGAGAGATTCCGGATATGAGGGATTCCGGATATGAGGAATTCTACTGTATATTACATCATAATTCGAAATTGTTTAGGATAATTTTCCCCTTGAAGTCTTATTTAATGGTACAATAGTTTAGTGATAACGTGCTTATGAATCCCTATACAATTTGTAAAGCTTCAGCAAATTATAAATTTTATAAGGCTATGCTATAAGGCTTTCACTAATCACCGTAATGAAATTCTAACGCTAAGATTTTGCACCAAAACTTAATCTATAAACTCGTTTCCACAAAAAGCGATAACGATTTCGAGAAAAAAAACATTTTGTTTCATTGCTTATCATGTTAAGCCCCAACTTTCAAATTGAGTGCAATACCACAGTTTCAAAAGCAACCTGCTCTACTGCCTATGTGTATGGCTTCTCGTCCTAAATTAGATTATATTTGAAAGATCACAACTATTAACTTTTGTGCTAACTTTCTTCTCATAGCCCGAGTTGAATAAGATTTTTTAGATCGTTTGTTAGATCATGATTAATAAAAACAAAAAATAGATAAAAGTGTATGTAACACCATAATAATGCTGGGTAAAAATTATAAAACAATTTCTTTTTAATTTGCATTGTTTATTAAAAATCACACTAAAACTACGGCACAGTATAATAAACCATAAGTCAGTTTTTCAGGATAATTTCCCCTTGAAGTAAATGAAAGTCTTATTTAACCCTAGAACACTAACCATGGGTATATAGTACCCAGCGCAAATTTTCCTATTTTTAATTACAATTTTCAGTACCTGATTTTCTTAGCTAAATAATATGTTTTTCAGTTCCTATTAATGTTAACTCAAAGTACAAAGTTTGGAGTGCCTGCATGTAAAATATTTCAAGTAAAGATTTATATTTAACTAGCAGTAGAGCCCGGCGTTGCCCAGGGATGTAACAGTAAGAGATAGATCAAGTATCGACCATCACAAAGACTGAAAAATAAAATTGACAAAGATTATTGTTTAAGGTTGACGGACACGCATGTCTTAAGTAGTTTTTTTTTTTTTTACGAATTGGTCAAACCCAAACTCAAACAAAAACATTGTTTTCAATCGTTGAGTCCACCGATTGAATAGAATTTTATTATAAACAATTGTCTTGTAAATGGAATTTTTAAAGCATTCTGAATGTAAAAATAAAGAAAAAAGTGTGCAAGACAATAAGAAACACTACCTGCCAAAAACAAAGTGAAGTTTTGTTGAAATCGGTTGAAAAATGTAGGAAATCCGATCCCATATATAAACGAACACACACACACACACACACACACACACACACACACACACACACACAAACAACCTGGGTTTTATAAGTATAACTCGATATGAGTTGTCGCCCTTTCATTCTGGCGGCAGTGATGCCCCTTAATCGTGTTTTCAAATTGATTTCATGCAAAAACAATTGTGTTTTTCCAATTTTTGGCGCTGTCAGAACTACCGCAAGGTAATTTTACGTAGTCCTGTCAAGTTTTGTTGAAATCCGTTGAAAAATATAGGAAATCCAATCCAATATATAAACGTACAGACACATACACACACACAACCTGGGTTTTATAATAAGTTTGATATTTTTTTTGATATTTTCAAAATCGGGTATGATATATCCATGGTTAGTAGTGGTTTAACTTTAATTGATGGTTAGTGTTCTAGGGTTAATGGTACAATAGTTTAGTGATAACGTGCGTATGACTCCATATACATTTTATAAAGCTTCAGTAAATTATGAATTTAATAAGGCTGGGCTTGTAAGACTGATCACCGGAATGAAATCCCAACTCTACAATTCTGAACCTAAACTTAATCTTTAATTGGTTTCCTCAAAAAATGGTAAAGAGTTGGAAGGAAATATTTCGTGTCCTTATTTATCATGTCAAACCCAAACTTTCAAATTGAGTGCAATACCGCGGTTCTAAAATTGACCTACCCTATTCAACATTCTTTTTACATCGAAAGCAATTTCGAACGATATTCTACCACAGCATTCTCCTTAAAACACTATATATTTATTTCCTACGCATTAAAATTTGCATTGTGACATTTAAATTGGATGTCTGGAAATTGTTCTGTTTTTTTTTTTTTTTACAGTCAAGCCTCATTAATAGAGGTGTTTTCAACTGAATACAAATCTAAGAACCAATAATATTAAACAAGATATATATTCGTAGCGATTTGAATCCAAAATGTTTAAAATTCTGTATCATTTAAAGTTTGATTACACATAAACTCTGCAAGATATCATCTACGATAACAAATAATTTTTTTCTCACTTCAAACAAAGATTCGACAATTTCTTCTATAAGCCCAGGACCACCCAGTTACTTTGAAGGATTAGGGAAGTACGAAACTAGGTTGGGAGAAATATATATATATATATATATATATATATATATATATATATTTAAGCGCCCAATTTTTTATGTCTTCATACTTCATACATTCAGAAAAATATCGTTATTACAAGAAGCAGAAAACTAACAGATATAAAATTGTATCAAAAAGGTTTAGCATAATTGGAGTAGTTGAAAAGACAGTTGGAAGAAAAATGCCTTGACTTTGGTAGAGAAATAAAATCGTTGTAGAATATGAATGCAAAATTTTTTCGGCCGACCCTCTTTCTAATTTTACATAAAGTATCTTCCAGCAATCTTAAAAATTTAGGAGAATATTCCCCGAATTTTAATGTATTATTAAATTTTAAGTACTTTTGCTTTAAATTTATTATAGTTTTCGCTTTTATTTTCTATCGTGGACATATCTGTAAAAATTACTTGAGGAATATAACATGAGCGCCTTTTTTACATAATTTTTAACCACCCAGTAATCTTTAAAATAAGAAAAATATTAGTAATCTAATGTATTATTGAATTTGAGGTACTTCTGCTTTCAATTTATTATAGTTTTCGCTATTATTTTTTGATAATGTTGTGTATGGACAAAAATCAGCACGTTTATACACACAAACACACACAAAATTCTTTTTAAAATATTGAGATTCACTGAATTGTAGTAACATTTCCGATTTATGATTAATAAAATATAGTTTTTACTTAATAACATTATCAGATAACCAACCCAAATTAAAAGATTTCAAAACTTCATAAATTATTCTAATTAAAGTTTATAAAAATGAAAACAATTCTTGTAAAAATCCTTATTCATCAAAAACAGTTTTTTTTTCTTTTTTGGATATCTATGCTGATGATATAATGGGACATGGGAACACCTCCAAAACTTTAGATGACCAGAGTCTGGCACCTGATCTTTCCTCTGATCTAGCTTTAAAAGCTCAATAGAGGAAAACCTGGCTGTTTATATCAATGTCTTGAAAACCAAACTAGTGACTATCCTGATATTTATCCCATATCTGGGAGGAAGGATTCATACCTTTCCCATTTAATTCTGAAATTTAATTTTCTTGGGAAATTTGAAGTGATAATCAATCTAAATACTTTGGTTGAAATTGTATGCTTTCAACTCCACATAAAATGTAATGTTGGTCATTTTGCGATAAGAAAGTATTTTATACATTCGTAGTGTTTTGTTTTTGTTTTGGGGGTTCATTATTTCCCAATATCTGGGACTCTAAAAGGCGCTACCGGGTCAGGGAGGCCCAAGGAACGACAGCAATTAAGAGGTGGTTCCATGTTCCTCAAAACCTCCTGATCTAAAGCCTTGCTGCCAGATATAGTTTAGCGTCATACCCAGGAAACCAACGTCAAGTAAACAAATACAATATGACGATAATTTTGGAAATAGCAAATATCAGAATGTTTTTGAAGACCACTAATTCTTCATCTAAAGTGTAAGAGAAATAAAAACCACAAACTTAAGCAAAATGGCCACAATAAAAGAAAAAGTAGAAGTTATCAGCTTTAAACTAACACATAAACAACAACAACAATAATAATAATAGGAAGAAGATGAAGAAGAAAAATGAAGGTAAAAGGAGTTAAAGAAGATGTGTAAATAGTGATGATGGCAACGAAAGAAAATGTGGAGAATTGGACAATTTAATGAAAAGGAAAATGAAGTAAAAAGGTCCAAACTGAAGAAGAAGAAGGAGGAGGAGGAGGAGGAGGAGGAAGAGGAGCCGAAGAAGAAGAGGAAGAAGAAAGAGGAGAAGAAAAAGAAGAAGAGAAAGAAGAAGAAGCGGAAGAAGAAGAAGAAGAAGAAGAAGAAGCGGAGGAGGAAGAAGAAAAAGAAGAAGAAGAAGTGGAAGAAGAAGAAGAGAAAGAAAAGAAGAGAAGGAAGGAGAAGAGGAAGAAGAAGAAGAAGAAGAGGAAGAAAAGAAGAGGAGGAAGGAGAAGAAGAAGAGCATGGAGAGGGAGAAGAGGAAGAAGAAAAGGAGGAGGAGGATTAGCAGAGGAATAAGAAGAGAAAGAAGAAGAAGCAGAAGAAGAAGAGGAGGAGGAAGGAAGAGAAGAGGAAGAGGAAAAAGAAGAAAAGAAGAGGAGGAAGGAGAAAAAGAAGAGCATGGAGAGGGAGAAGAGATAGAAGAAAAGGAGGAGGAGGAGGGGGAGGAAGAAGAAGGAGGAGGAGGAGGAGGAGAAGGAAAAGATGGAGAAAACGTAAATTAGTGATGGAAGAAAGTGCAGAATAAAATTCAAGAATAAGGAAAATTCGAAGAAAAAGAAAATTCGTGAAGAAGAAAATGCGAGATGATGGGAAAAAGAAGAAAATTCGGAAAGAAAATGAAGACGTATATTGAAGAAAGAGAATGAGAAGAAAGAGAACGAGGAGAAAGAGAATGAGAAGCAAAAGGATGTGAAGAAAAACGATGTGAAGACAATGAATGAATGGGCGAGTGTGTGGGGAGGTATCTTTTAGTAACAATAAGATAATGACAATGTCGATGCCAATAATGGAAGCTTAATAATTTTAATAATGGTAAAAGAGACGATGATAATGGCGACCAATCACTTATTTGCCTCTCAGCTATGATTATGAAAGGCAGTTCATAATCATATATATATATATATATATATATATATATATATATATATATATATATATGCGTAAAGGATTATGTTCTTTTTTAATTAGGCTGGGATACACCGCCGACAGCACTTCTAATATCAAAAACACAGAATTCATAAACTTACCTTCCAACACCCTATCTAAAAGATTTAAAAATAAATTAGTTATTCCAAATACTAGGGATTTTACCACCACGCTCAAGACAATCAGCGATATAGTTAGGTAGAAAAATAAATGCAATACCGCTTCAAATGCCAAGATTTAGGAAATAGAATATTACAATATAGAAGCAGTTACAGGGGTGAGACATCTAGGAATTTATAAGCCCGTATCTATGAACATAAGAGCTGGGACAACCCTTTAAAGTCGCTCGTAATACGCAAGAAAAAAACTCACCATGAGCTTGTTTTTATAAATGCTACACTAATTAAAAAGGAATATAATACTTTATGCAGTAACTACTGATAAATATTTGACTATCTTTAAAAATACGTAAAACATTATATTACATCACAAACTTACTGTATGAATTTAAGCGCGCTAATAAATTGCCATTTTCGACCCATCAAACTGTCAAAACATTTAAATGTAACCGCCTCTTCTACTCCAACAGCTTCTTCTTTCGCACTTCCCGACAGTGCAACTCCCTTCCTCTTACTTACTTCCCTGACAGCTATAATCTTTAAATATTCAAATGTTATGTTAATCGACATCTTCTAATGCTTTGATCTTTATCCCTGTCTTTTTCTTTATCTTTTTCCCAAACATTCCTCGTTACTTTTTACACTCACTTTCCGTAACCTATTGCGTGCTAGTGGCACTCCCGCTTTGCTTGGGATGAAATACTTCAAAAAAATCCATACATAAAGAATCTAAAACATGTCTATCTATTACTGCCACAAATTTAACCCTTCTGACATAAAAATGGCCCCAATTTAAAGATGCGAAGAATCACCGAGCATAATATCTACCAGACACCCACACCCACACACTTTATCATCTGAATCCCACAAAGACAAACTATAATCATAATAGACTTACACACATACATTTTACAAACGAATGCGACTTGACAAGGCAAATGTCCATGAAGTCTGCTTAACCAATGATAAACAAACAACTCAAAAATGAAATACACAAGATTTTTTTTATCTTTCTTGTTTCTCCATATCTCATTCTCCAATGAAGCTTTAATAAAGACGAAATATGTTAGATTTATAAACGTTTCTTATTTGTTCCTTATCTTATCATTCTGTCGGATTCCAATCCATATTTGAATTGTAATTGATACCAAATCTCTCTCTCTCTCTCACGCACACACACAGAAAGAGAGATAGAGAAAGCGAGAGAGGGAGAGGTGGATAAATTTATGCAATATACATACATAAGTACGTACAAGCATACATATATATAAATGCTTACATGAACACACACACACACACATATATATATATATATATATATATATATGATGCTATTTATAGCTACCTTTTCTCTACTTGGCATCTATTGATCTAAACCTTTTTTAAATGGCTTCCAGGCTATCTATCTATCTATCTATCTATCTATCTATCTATCTATCTATCTATCTATCTATCACAGTCTGTTCATATCTATCTTTTTATCTATTGTAAACATTCATTTTATGAAATACGTTAGAAGAAAGTTTTTGAAAGTAAATATTAATAGAAGGGAAAGAAAGAAATTATTTGATAAAAAAATAAATAAAACGTTAGTTAAAAGGGTAATATATATATATATATATATATATATATATATATATATATATATATATATTTGAAGCTGTTAATAGCTAACTTTTTCTCTACTTAGCATCTATTTATCTAAACCTTCTTTAAATGGCTTCCAGGATACCTATCTATCTATCTATCTATCTATCTATCTATCTATCTATCACAGTCTGTTCATATCTATCTTTTTATCTATTGTAAACGTTCATTTAATGAAATACATTAGAAGAGAGTTTTTGAAAGAAAATAGAAGGGAAAGAAAGAAATTATTTGATAAAAAAATGAATAAAAATGTTAGTTCATACGATAATATTTTGAAATTAAACGCTTCCATCATTTTCTAAAGAAAACAATTTGCTTTTTGGCGACCGCGTTTGCTAGGTGGTTTGTTCATAGCTATAGTAGTAGCTAACTTAACTAAATTGAATTTTCATTGGTCAAATTCGAACAATCTCTGTTTGTCAGCGTCTGGAAAAAAAAAGAAAAATAAATTCAAATGTCTAGTGTCGTCCCGCTTAATTGGGTAAAATTACGATTCTCTATTGCAAATATATAATTACAACGTCAAATTTTTAATCCAAATCTAACGGATTTTTTAAAAACTCTCTTTGAACAGATTAAAGTATCTTTTTAGAGAAAAAATCATTTCATTTTGGAGAAATGCATTTATTTTTACCAAAGAGTTAGGTGTTTATTTATGTTGACAGGTTGATAGTTTGGCAGATGGACGTTTATCCAATTTCTCTCAATGAGGGTCATATCTGTAAAAATTACTTGAGGAATATAACGTGGGCGCCATTTTCAATAATTTTTAACCACCCAGTAATCTTAAAAATTTAGGAAAATATTCTCCATTTTTTTTTAATCTCTTTTGGAATAGAGAAATAGATTTCTCTTTGAACAAAGAAAGCTGTACAGTTTTTTTCTAAATATATCCATGCAGAGGAGTGGGGAAAATTTTCTTTTTAAAGAGAGAAATAAATTTCTCTTTGAACAGAGAAATGTATATTTTTAGAGAAAAAAAAAAATTCAGCCAGAAGGTTTTAAATTTAATTTTTCCAGATGAGAAATTATTTATTTTTTTAGAATATTATACGTTAATAATATTTTTTTTACGTAAAGAATATGACAGAGAGTGTCTATTTTAATATTTTATTTTTAAAAAAGGGGAGTTAAAATTATCCATCTCTTTGCTTGTAAATTTATCGCAATTTTAATAACAAATTAAAATTGCTGATAAATATTTTTTCTTTGAATGCTTATTTTCCAGTAAAAACACGTGAATTTTGTGGTTTATTGTAACATTTTTTTATATATAAAATGCTCTAAGTAAGGAAATATATTTAAGGTAAATTGAAATTTCTCTTCTATTTACTGATAGCAGTTGTAAGTATTTTATTTGGTTGCAAGCTTATTGAAAATTTTTAATTTCAGTAAAAACAAGTATACATACAAATGTACTACTTTTTTGTTGCAAAATTATGAACATTGTGAACTTTCTTCAAATCTGCGAGAATAAATTAAAAAAAATAGCTACAAAATATTGTGTACTTCAACTTGACATTTTAAAACCAAGAAAAAAGAATTTATCATTGTCAGAAACCGGCCAGAAAGCATTTTTTGGAAGAAAGAATGAAGAGAGAAAAGAAAAAATATATGAAGTTTTAAAACAATTTTTCTGTTTGAAAATTGTTCCTTGTCAGTCTTTTTGGTTTCATTGCAAAAAAAAAGAAATAAATAAAATAAAAATATAAATTTAAAATAGATCGTTTGAAGAAAACACCAGTAAATTAAACATCATATTTTTTCTAAAAGAGTGAATTTTATTATCCATTCATATTTTGCTTTAGGTGTTATTATTATTATTATTATTATTATTATTATTATTATTATTATTAGCATGTGGATCTATATGCATTGACAATTATTTATGCTATTTAATAAAATTGTGTTCCTTAATGTCACTTCTCATTTTGTATATGTTTATTGATTGGTGACAATTATTCTGTACGGTAAAATAAATTGCTATGATAACTAAGTTGTTGCCCTTCAGACTTTGACAATGAAAAAATCATAAAACGTTTTACTATCTATCTATCTATCTATCTATCTATCTATCTATCTATCTATCTATCTATCTATCTATCTATCTATCTATCTATCTCAATCTGTTCATTATCTATCTAAGTGTTTTCACATCTATCTCAGTCTGTTCACATCTATCTCAGCTTGTTCATATCTATCTATCTATCTATCTATCTATCTATCTATCTATCTATCTATCTCAATCTGGTCATTATCTAAGTTTTTCATATCTATCTCAGTCTGTTCACAACTATCTCAGCTTGTTCATATCTATCTATCTATCTATCTATCTATCTATCTATCTATCTATCTATCTATCTATCTATCTATCTATCTCAGTTAGTTCACCTCGATCTATCTATCTCAACCTTTTCATATCTATCTCAAGTACTTATATTTCATAAATATCTTTATAATTACCTCCAAAGAAACGCGATACCTAAGGTTTAAAATTAAGTTGTAAAAATGAAAAATCTTTCTTGAGGCTTTTATTTTAGTTTCAATATCATGCTAATTGATTAAATTTAATATTTCTAATAAGCTAAATACTTTGCTGTAATTAAAATCTAATTTAGATTGACTGACAGGAGTTTTGTTTTGAAATTTCTAAAAATCGTTGATTTTAGTGCAAATTTTGTCATCACAATGTAATACACCTTATTAAAAATGTCTTTCAAAAATAAAATATAATTTTTTGAAAGTTTATTTCAGGAAGATTAGTTGCTTTAAAGTTTAATTAATTTGATTTGAGATAAATATTACTTACATTTAGTCTAATATATTGGAGAAATGCATTTTTTACCACGGAGGTAGGTGTTTATTTAAGATGTTGACAGCTTCCCAAATAGAAGTTTATCTAATTTCTTTCAATGATGGACATATCTGTAAAAATTATTTGAGGAATATAACGTGAGCGCCCTTTTTTTTACATATTTTTAAGGATCCAGTAATCTTAAAAATTAGGAAAATATTAGTAATCTAATGTATTATTGAATTTTAGGTAAATTTGCTTTAAATTTACCATAGTTTTCACTTTTATTTTGTGGTAATACCCAACCCAAATTCTTTTTAAAATATTGGGATTCGTTTAATTGTAGTAACATCTCCGATTTATGATTAAGTTTTTACTTAATAACAATAACACGTATCCAACCCAAATTAAAAGATTTCAAAACTTCATAAATTATTCTAATTAAAGTTTATAAAAATGAAAACAATTCTTATAAAAATCCTTATTTATCAAAAACAGTTTTTTTTTTCTTAAGACAATAGTGTCTATAATATATGTGATTCATAGAAACAATTAAAAGCTTTTCTAATTAAATAATGTCTTAGTTGTATTGCAATTTTTATTTTACGATGCAGGGCAAATTGCCGGTAAATGGGGGTCCTGTTTTACAAAATAAAATTGTTGCTTAAGATTATCGAAGGGGATCTGCGTATAATTAATATAAAGCCGAGCAAAAATGAATTTCTCGAAATTTCATGAAATTAAATAATTGGGTTGGTTGGGGCGTCGTAATAGATGAAAAAAAAGATTTTACCAAAATTTTCTAAAAAGAATATTTCTATAACAAATTCATTTATTTGTGAATAAGTCCTGAAAGTTTCATCAAAATCAAACAATTATTTGATTTTTGCAAAAATTTCCAAATCAATGTTTGTCACCGCAAAGACTTTAAAATTTATTAAAATTGTTTTTATGCATCCTCAAAAATAGTGCAAAATTCTTTTTAAAAATACATGTGTCGCAGATTGCAAAAAGCTTTCAAATTTATGATCTGTAAAGATAGATCTACTTAATAACAGGATTGAAACTTAATTATAAAATATTTAACAACTTTATCATATTTTGTATTTAAAATTGAAAACTAAAGGAAACAATTCTTGTAAAAATTAATTTTCCATCGAAGAAATATTTTGGCTTCAGACAATATTGCCCTTAACATATATTATTAATAAAAGCCATTAAAAACTTTTCTAATTAAGTAATGTCTTAGTTTTATTTGGTTTTGTATGTTACAATTCAGAGATCAATTTTGGGTAACTGCGTGATTCGATTTTACAAAAAAATCGATGATTTATATTCTTTGAAGTCTTCTGTTTTTTTAACTAATATAATCAGTAAATGGCATGACGTCGAATTTCTTGAGTTTTCATAAAATTAAGTAAGGGTAAGTAGCAGATGTAAAAATATATATATTTTACCATGACTTTCTAAAAAAATGTCTAAAATAATTTCATTTATTTGTAAATAAGTTCTTAAAGTTTCATAAAAATCCGAAAATTATTTGATTTTTGCAAAAATTTCCAAATCAATGTTTGTCACCGCGAAAAACTCTAAAATTGTCTATGCCAATCTTTTGCCCTTCCTCTGACGCAAGAAAAACAATATTTTTTACTAAAATTTCTGAAAAATGATAAAAAAAAAATAATTTAATAATAAAAAATCCTCTGGCCATTCCTCTTAATAAGATAATGATTTTGACAATAAAACTTTTTCTTATTAAGTTTGGGTAATTTTTTCATCATGATAGGCTCATTTTTCTGTGAATCTTTACAGGTACCCACTTAAATGTTATATTTTAGCGGGCAAACATGTTTGAGTAGACTCCTCGTTTGTTTTAAACAGTATAGATTACATCTATCGGCCTGTGCATTCGAGAATTTTAATAAAGAAAACGTGCCCTTCGTTAGGGTTCGAACGTAAGTCTTTCTTTTGAGGTGAAAACGTTGTCTGATCAAGCGTCCGCAGGGAGCATCACAGCAAGCAAACATTAATTCCTTAGAAATTACTTTGTTTATGTTTCGGTTACGAAGCAAAAGCTGCTTACGACCGCATCACATTGAAAGACCGTTAATTAAGCAACGTCGAACCTGGTCATTACCTAGATGGGTGACCGCTTGAGAATACCAGGTACTGTAAGCTTGGATGTGCAGGTGGTAAGTGGTAAGGATTACGGACCCATCACGATTAAACATCGATTCACGTACGATCACTGAAGTTAAGCAACGTCGAGGCTGGTCAGTGCCTAGATTGGTGACCGTTTGAGAATACCAGGTGCTGTATGCTTGGATGCGCGAGTGGTGTAATGATAATGGTCCGGAATTCTTAACCGGAGCTTCGGGTTCCAATTCCCATTGGGTTCGCAAATATCGTTGGGAACGGTATGAATCCACCTGTTATTCCCCCAGCTATTGGTTAATTAGTGAAACGTGTATCACTAACCAATTGTCATCTCCAGAAAAAAAAACCTGCTTACAATATAAAATATTTTCTTACTTTAAATAACCTGCAAAGTGTTGATAAACCGTAAAAAACGAATCATCAGTCGATCAATCAAAAACAATAGGGTAATTTAATCTGGAAACATTACGCTGACAGCATTGGTTATCCAACGATCATCAAGGTTAAGCAATATGGACACCGATCAGTACTTACATGGGGAACTGCTTGTGAACATGCGGTACATATTCGTGATATGATTTCGGCATTAAACGTGGAATTATCTCAAAAGTGTGTCTTCCGTCCTGGGTGGGTAAGACGATAAACTACATCCGCATCCAGGGTAAGACGATAAACTACGTCCAACAGCAAGGCCTCTGATCAGGAGGTTTTGAAGGGTGTGGAAACACCTCTTAATTGCTGGTGTTCCCAGGTCCACCCTGACCCAAGGTGGTAGCACCTGTTAGGGTTTCCGCTATGGGTAAATAGTTAACTCACAAACGAGGGTCAAAACATTATTAAAGTGTAAAGATGGGTTTTAATACCAGCAATACAGTTTTGAAGGAAAAGTTGTTAGCATCAATAGATTCTTGAAGAAAAAAAATATTACCAGCAATACATTTTTCAAGGAAAAATTGTTAGCATCAATAGGTTCTTGAAGAAAATAAAATTATTACCATCAATACATTTTTGAAAAAAAAAATTATTATTATCAGCAATACATTTTTGAAGGAAAAATATTACCAGAAATAGATTTTTGACAAAACAAAATATTACCAGCAATAAAAATTTTGTCGGCATTAAATAACCCATTGATGTTGATATGCCGTAAAACAAAACAAAACAAACAAACAAAACAAAAGTGTGTCTTCCAATTTTCAAAAATTTTATAAACAGCGAGGGGTTGAAATAAAATAATTTCTTTGTTCCCGAAGATTGAAAAATAGTTAAAAAAAAAAAAAATGCGTGGAGGATTCTCCAATTATGTTCAATAACTTTTAGTTTTTGACAAGTAGCCTTGTTTCCCACCATTTTTAATTAAACGTTTAGCTTTTAAATAACATGGCGGAGATACGGTGGATCCATACTTTTCTCAAGGGTTTTGTGCGTCAATAAATAATAGTCGGGACCTGCTCGCATCCGTGCATCAGGATCGACATCCTCTCTTTTTATTCCATTTCTCTTTCTGGTGGTGGTAGCGGAGAGGGCTGTGACAGCCCAGCCTACTCCTGAAGAATCGTGAACAAAGAGAGTTTGACGAGACCATTCATGTGAATTTAGTTTTGGTGGACAACACTGCGCGACGAAGAAGCCAACACTTGGCCAGAAGCGACTCAAAGGTGATTGAGACAGGTGAGATCAGTCAAACCTGGTTGCATCGGGCTGTCGGATGCTTGGTCTGTCAAGGTCTGCTTTGGTTACGCCTGCCCGATTGGCATTGCCCTCTTCCGTCAGTTTGGGTGTTGAGATCGTGTAGATCTTTGCCTGTTCCAACGTTGGGGTCTTTGAGGGTCGGTCGTATTCAGTCTGGTCCCTCTTCCTCGACCTTACCGCCAAGGGTAGTCCTACAGGTGTTGAAACGCCAGACTGCTTCGCTCTTTGCATCACTGGGACACGTAAGCTCTCAGCCATGGCAAGGAACGACCATATATATTTTAGACTGGAAGTCGGAATGAACAGTTCGTTATCATTTGTGCCACGGGTGACCCTACATAAGTTGAAACTCCAAACTGCTTCGCTCTTGGGATTACTGGGACACGCAAGCCTTCGACCGTGCAAAGGAACGACCAAATATATTTTTAGACTAGAATGTGTTTCATATAAAGTGTGTTTTCTGGGATTCAGAGTAAATAGTTTTTGTACTACCAGGTGATGCGGGATTTAAGCTTAAGTTCCTTAAGGTTAATGTAAATTACTTGAGTTTATATATATATATATATATATATATATATATATATATATATATATTGTAGGTAATACCAGAACACCCACTTGGATAATTCGTGCTGTCGAACACACTTATATGAGTACATAACCTTTATATGAAACTCCATATAGTAGGAATTGATGTTAAACTACAAACAAAAATCCTAGCCATAAATAAACTCCAAACCAAGACCGCTTCCCCCGAAATAAGATACCTGACGCCTCCACCAATCGCTAACACAAACCAACTCCCGTTAACAAGGCGCCTACCAGAGATTGGCTTTGAAAAATAAATAAATAAGGTGCTCCCAGAAAAGTACTTAGTGGCTGACGAAAGCCATTGAGGAACGGTTTGAAATAGTCTATTACGATGTTGAGGTAAACATCTGTCAGATTTTAAGGTTTCTTTCTTAGAATTGTAGGATAAGACGAACCCAGATTTTTAAGGGTGATTTGGGGGATTTAAATGTCGTCTTATACGCGGAAATATACTGTATTTTGCTGTAAAAAATACATATGTTATATTGAAATAAAAAACATCGAGATCTCTGGAGCAGTTTTAATAATAATTATTACTAGGATCAACCCGGATTATATACCAACGGCTCGATTACCCGTACTATATATATATATATATATATATATATATATAAAAAATCCCGGGAGTATAATGGAGAAACTGGAGAGACGAGTTCGATTTTCAGTCAGGTTCGTCAGTCTCACTAATTGTTATAATTATATAAATTTATAATATTTTATTATCATAAATTCATATTAATTTATATCAAAGCGTAAATGTTCATTTAGTTAACAATAAACAATATTAAACAATGGTTCTTACACAATTTAGTCGCAAAATGACAAAAAGATTTCTCGAAAAGACAAATAACAAAATAAATACCGTATATTTTTGCGTATAAGACGACATTTAAATCCCCCAAATCACCCTTAAAAATTTGGATTAGTCTTATGCTGCAATTCTAAGAAAGAGACCTTAAAATTTAAGAGATGTTTACGACAGGCTGACCTCGGCCTTGTTGAGATATAATAACGTATATGAAAAGATTCACATTATCAAATAAATCTGATAATAAAAGTAATATAACCATTTCTTACTATTATTTTACTGGCGTAACTTCATAATAAATTGTCTATTCGAAGAATTATTCCATATCAATCGAATCAACTCAAGTTCAGCTGAGAAAATGTAAACGTTCGCAGTAAGCTTTATCTTTCACTAAACTTTCAATAATGAATAAGACTGAATAAAAAATATTAAAAGTAGAATGTACTATTATTGTACATTATTGTAATATTAGCGGTGTTTTGTGATTGTCGCTGAAGTATAAGTAAATGGCTATTAACACACCAGGCTATTTATAATTGCTTTGATATAGGAAAAGAAGAGGAAGAAGAATTAGTATTCGCAAGAGATCACGGAATGAAACATGTCCAGAAAACATGATATAGAATGTTATTTCGTTTATTTTGAATTTCTATGAATACAGTAAATAAGAACATTTCCAATAAAATCGTCTTTAAATAATCAATAAGCAATCATCTTATATTAAATGAATAGGATAAATTCATGAAAATTTGCTTTATTTTTTTTTACCTCGTCTTATGTAAAGGTCGCCTTAAACGCAGAAATATATGATAAAAAAATGAAGTCAATTTGTAATATTACATTTTTTAGAAGAAATATTTGTTTTACTTAAATATACGCCAACAGAATTTTGTGGGCAAAACAGGGACTGGAAAATTTAATACTCATATGATATATTGTATGTGTAGTGGACAGATGGAGACAACGAGTAACCTATCCAAGGAGTTTGTGTAAACGGATGGATGGCAGAACAGGGTGTAGAAAGAATAGTACAAAAAACAAACATAACTGTTGTGGGGCTCTCCCCTTTTTACATAAGATGGACTCGTCCAAAGTATACTTATACTGAAAGAGAGAATATCTGCTGGTTGAGATACGTTGAGATTCGTGAAGATACGTTGAGATACGTGGAGATACGTTGAGATACGTTGAGAGATACGGAGACAGACACAGAGTGTTCTCAGAGAGTTATACAAGAGTCCATATATATATATATATATATATATATATATATATATATATATATATATATGGCTTTACTTACAGAGACTTTCTACTAACTCGCTTTCCTGGACTACTAATCTTCAAGTCTGTATTCTTAGGTTTAATACACTTATTTTTCTATCTCAATTATTGGCGTTGTTTATTTTTTATTTGTGCCGGATTCCATTCACGGAATCCACAACAATTACTAAGAGCTACAAATAATAGGAAGTTGTAGAGAGTCATGATCGTCAACGCCCTGAGGGAACTGGGCACAAAATGTAGAAGGTTCAAATTTTGAACGTGTCTATAATACTTCAAATCTACTCTCAATCCGTTTGTCTACTTGTAAAACCTTTGATAACCAAGTATAGAAAAAGTAGTTTCTGCAATCCCTTAAAAAAAGGACGAACGAAAAAAAATATTATCATTAAATAAACAAACAAATAAACATGCAAAGAACAAAGTTTGTAGGACGTGGTCTAAGAATAATTTTAGCTGACAGTCCACAAAAGGTTGGCAATAGTTCGTTTCGTCTGGGTTTGTGCCATTGAGGGTCGGAGAAAGGGCGGGCGAGAGATCCCTGGAGGTGTGTCAAAGCTTTTTAGGCGGTCGTTTGAAGCGAGACATGAACTGAAGTCGTAGTTAGTTCGGTAGGTAGATAAGGAGGGAAGGCATGCACGTCGGGTAGAGGTTGTTCCAGGGCTTGGAACATAAAAGTTGCTTGGACAGGGAAGTTTCGGTCCGAGGATCCTGTTTTGGAAGGTGTGTCCGGAGACGACCGTAAAATGAAAGTGAACTCGGTTCTTTCATCTGTCCCACTGCAAGATAACGAGAATGGAGGCTAAAAACGAAAAACGAACAAAAAAGTTGGTTATGCAATAAAAACGGAGGAAATACAATATATATCTAAAAAAGAAAAATGGCCAAAAAATATAAATATATCGTATCGAAACATCGATAGGCTTATTAACTTTCTTGATTGCAGTTTTTCAACACATGATAATTTTCTTTCACTCTATTTTTTTCTTTCTTCCTTACTTTAAAGTCTGTTTTATTGTCTTTCTTTCTTTCAAGAATGTTTTGTTGTCTTTCTTTCAAGATCGATGTGTCTTTCCTTCTTCCATTTTATTTCTTTCTTTCTGCTTTCTGCAAAGTCTGTTTTATTGTCTTTCTTTTAAGAATGTTTTGTCTTTCTTTCTTTTAAGACTAATTTGTCTTTCCTTCCTTCATTCCTTCTTTCTTTATTTCCTTTTTCTTCCTTTCTTTCTTTAAAGTCTGTTTTATTGTCGTTCTTTTAAGAACGTTTTGTCTTTCTTTCTTTTAAGACCAATTTGTCTTTCCTTCCTTCATTCTTTCTTTATTTCCTTTTTCTTCCTTTCTTTCTTTAAAGTCTGTTTTATTGTCTTTCTTTTAAGAATGATCTATTGTCTTTCTTTCAAGATCGATTTTTCTTTTCCTTTTTCTTTCTTTCTGTAAAGTTTGTTTTATTGTTTTTCTTTTAAGAATGTTTTGTTGCCTTTCTTTCTTTCTTTCTTTCTTTCTTTCTTTCTTTCTTTCAAGCTCGATTTGTCATTCCTTCTTTCTTTTTTTCTTTCTTTCTTTAAAGTCAGTTTTATTGTCTTTTAAGAATGTTTTGTTGTCCTTCTTTCTTTCTTTCTTTCAAGATCGATTTGACTTTGCTTCTTTCTTTCATTCTTTCTTTCTTTCTTTCTTTGATTCTTTTTTGGTTAAATCTGTTTATTGTCTTTTTTAAGAACGTTTTGCCGTATTTCTTATAAGGTCGATTTGTCTTTCCTTCTTTCTTTTTTCTTCTACTTTCTTTCTTTCTTTCTTTCTTTCGTTATTTCAAATTTGATTTATTGCCTTTTTAAGAATGTTTTGTCTTTCTTTCTTTTAAGATCTATCTATCTATCTATCTATCTATCTATCTATCTATCTAGCCCAGTCTGTTCATATCTATCTATCTATCTATCTATCTATCTATCTATCTATCTATCTCAGCTTGTATATTATCTATCTATCTATCTATCTATCTATCTATCTATCTATCTATCTATGTTTTTCGAAACTTTTGTCTGTTTCTTTCTGTTCCTTTCTCTCTCTAATCCTTTATTTCTTCCATTTTGATTTATGCCAACTTAATTATTAAGCATTTGTCCTTTTTTACTTTCATTAATAGTTTATCCAAAAGCCATACTTTCTTTTCGTTTTCTATGCCATTTTAGTTTGACATAAACTCTTGTGACAGTCACCAAATCATCTCTTGATCTCACCATTTTTATTAACCATCCCTTCCCTTTCTTTTTCGTATTTTTTGTAATACCACTTTTCCAAAGACTTCGTCATGATGGTTTTTGCTCTTTTTCTTTCTGCTTCTGGTGTCGCGACTACTGCACGAGCAATTTCGCTTGCCGTGAGAGAAAAAAAAAAATAATTACCAGCAAATTCTCGTCTCCTTTGAAGTCTTTTATTGGGTCCGTTCGGCTGTCCAGCAGCTTCCGGGGAGCTACCACTGCCCCTTTATCACACTGTTCACGCGCTACGACATCTTGGCACAGGCGCGAAGACAGAAAAATATACCTGAGGTTCGGTGGAACAAGAGGACAGGGCATATAAAAGTGCAACATGGGGACAGAAAAGAAAGAAAGAAAGAAAGAAAGAAAGAAAGAAAGAAAGAAAGAAAGAAAGATAGAAAGAAAACAACAAAATGATCTTAAAAGTAAGTAAGAAAGAAAGAAAGAAAGAAAGAAAGAAAGAAAGAAAGAAAGGACCTGAGAAACAAAGAAAAGGAAAGACAAGAACACGAGAAAAAAAAAGAAACGAGAAAAAAAAAAAAAAAAAAGACAAGACAAAACACGAGAAAAAAGAAAAAAAGAAAAAAAAAGAAAAGAAAGACAAGGAAAGATGTAAAAAAAAAAAGAAAAAAAAAAAGAAAAAGAAAGACAAGGAAACGATGTAAAAAGAAAGAAAGAAAGAAAGAAAGAACACGAGAAATAAAAGAAAAAGAAAGACAAGGAAACGATGTAAAAAGAAATAAAGAGAGAAAGAAAAAACAAATCGATTTAAAAAAAGAAAGAAAGAAACAGTGAACACAAAGAAAAATGGAAAAAGACAACAAAACGATCATGAATGAAAGAAAGAAAATAACAAAAATGAAAGAAAGAAAACAACAAAAATGAAAGAAAGAAAATAACAAAATGATCATAAAAGATAGTAACAAAAAATAAAAAAAAGAGAGAAAGCAACAAAAGGTATTTAAAAGAAAGAAAGAAACAAACAAATAAAGAAGAAATGGAAAATGAAAGAGAGACAGACAAGAAAACGATTTCGAATGAAAGAAAGAAAACAGCATAAAAGGAAAAAGAAAGAAAACAACAAAACGAATTTAAAAGAAAGAAAGGAAGACAGCAAGAAGAAACAAAGACAGAAAGAAAGAAAATGGAAAAAAGGAAGGAAACAAAATGATCTTGAAAGAAAGAAAGAAGGAAAGATAGAAAAAAGAAAGATAGAAAGAAAGAAAGAAAGAAAGAAAGCTAGAAAGAAAGAAGAAAAATAGAAAGAAGAAAGAAAGGAGGAAAATAGAAAAGGAAGAAAAATAAAACTGAGAAAGAAAAGAAGAAAAGAAACGAATAAACAAAAGAGATAGGAGAAGAACAAAGAAAAGAAAAAAAAGCAAATTAGAAAGGCAAAAATATAGCAAAAGACGTAAAGAAAAGAAGACAGGAAGAATAAAAGAAAGGTAAAAGAAATAAAAAGGAATGAAGAAAGAAAGCAGAGAAAGTAAGAAAAAAAAGAAAGGAAACGAAAAAGAAAAGTCGGAAAAACGTCAGAGAAGTGAAAAAATGAATGAAACAAAATAGAAATGAAAAAAAGTAGTAAAAGACGTAAAGAAAAAAAAAGGAAGAAATAGAAAAGGAAGAAGGAAAGAAAACAGAGAATGTAAAAAAAGAAGAAAATGAAATGAAGAAAGAATGGTGGAAAAACATAGCAGATTAGCAAAAAAGAATGAAACAAAGGACAAATGTAGCAAATTAAATAAAATGAAAGAAAGAATTAAATGTTTGGTAAGAGAAAAATAGAAATGAAAAAGGAAGAAGAAAATCTTCAGAAAATAATAGAATAGATACGAAAAAAGATAAAGAATTATAAAAAAAGTTAACAAAAGCAAGGAAAAAGGCCGAAGAGAAAAAAATGAATAAGGAAGAAAGAGAGGGGATATAGTAAAAAAAAAAGAAAAAAAAAAGAAAGAAAGAAAATAGAAAAAACGAAAGAAAAGAAAAAGTAAATTATAAACTCAATAAAAGCGAATGAAAAACAGCCAACAAGGAAGACAAAAAGCTTGGGGGGAAACGAATGGGAAAAAGTAAGTCATATAAGAAAAAAGGAAGAAAAAGCAAAGAAGGTAAGAAAAACGAAAAGAATGAACAAACAAAGTAAGAGAGAAAGAAAGCAAAGAAATAAATTTAAAGAAAGAAAGTAACTAAAGAAAGAAGAGAAAACGATAACAGGAAAGAAGTAAAATATAAGGGAAGGAAAAAGAAAGAGAAAGAGAAAAGATGGAAAGAAAGAAAGAAGGGCATAAAGAAAACAAACAAAAAAAAGAAAAGAAATGCAAAGAAAGAAAGAAGATAAATGAGTAAGTAAATATATAAATAAATAAATAAATAAAGAAAAAAAGAAAGAAAGAAAGAAAGAAAGTCAAATTGAAAGACAAAGTAGAAATTAATTGTGTTACAAATGAAGGAGCAAGGACAATAAAAGTACGGGTATTAAGAAAACAACAGGTAACAACTGTAACCGAATTTAATTTTTTGAAGATCAGACTTTACTGGAAAGAACGAGGCGATATCGACCCTCCACAACTTCCTTTCAGTTGTTGCTCAAAGTAATTGAACTCCCTTTTTACTATTTAAAACCTTTTCAGTATTATGCTTTTAGTTTTGTACACAAAAGAGTTTGGGCGTATATAGTAAACAAATAAACTCCCTCCCCCCTCTCTCTCTCTCTCTCTCTCTCTCTCTCTCTCTCTCTCTCTATATATATATATATATATATATATATATATATATATATATATATATATACATGGTGTATCAAAAATACATTTACAAACTTTGGAGGCGGCTTCCTCGCACCAAAACAAGGACAAAACACATGTCCGAAAATCCTTCGTTTTGAGTTAAAGAAAGTTTACGATAGGTGGCGTAGTGTTGCCATGTAGACTAGGTTACATTTGTCGTTCGTGTACATTTGTGGCTAGTCTTTCTTCAACGTTTAACGTGTGTAGTAGCGAGTGAAATGAGAAGTGTCCCGTTTAACAATGGCGGCATATGCATATAGTGAGCAGGCAGAGTCTAGCTTCTTCCAAAATTTTACCTTTTATAGTAAAAGAAGACCGGAGCGTACAACCGCCAAAAAATCGTGAATATGGCAACAAAGGTGAGGATAACAATATATATATGTGTGTGTGTGTGTGTGTGTGTGTGTGTGTGTGTGTGTGTGTGTGTGTGTGTGTGTGTGTGAAAAGTGTGTGTATATAAATATAAATAAATATATATATATATAATTATTTATATATATTATATGCGCGGTACTTATTAGAAAGCGCTCAATCACATCAATCCAACCAAATATATATATATATAGCGAGACTCTTCGCAGATGCGAATTGCGTCACTGTCGGTCACTGGGCGTGTTTCTAAAAATAAATACGCTAAAAACCCACTACCGTGCGCCGACGGCTTAATGGTTAGAATGGTTATATACCAACGTTTAGAATCTCCGACTGACACCAGTTCAGTCGGGTTTCGATCCTAGCTAGAGGCAACCGAATGTCTAGCCACACTGATGAGCTGCGAAACAGTCGGTCTGTGGATGACGTTATATATATATATATATATATATATATATAATTCTCTGTTAAAATAAAAAGAACGAACATCGAGCTCTCTGTGGATCAGTTTTAATAATTAATATTATTATGCTCCACCGGGATTATATACCAACGGATCGATTACCTGTACTATATATATATATATATATATATTATAATTCGAAAACGCTTTGGAGATACACACACACACATACACACATATATATATATATATATATATATAATTCCATCAATAAAAACATTACTTTAGTCTGATGAAGACCATTGAGAGGATAAAACTCGTCAAATTACTGGATTTATTTTTAATCTGACATTTTTATTACTTCAAACGTTATTGAAATATATGCCGCATTTTTATTTATTTAGCAGTGAGTACTGCGTCTAGTGCATTCGAAAAAAACGTTCGGAACATATTTTCTTTACTAAGATTTCCGAATAGACGTAATGCCCACAGTTTAATAAATAAAAATGGAGCGTCTATTTCGAGTACGAAGTGTCCACTCTAATGACGTTTGCAGTAATATATATATATATATATATATATATATGTGTGTGTGTGTGTGTGTGTGTGTGCGTGTGTGTGTGTATGTGTACGTGCTCAAATACTTAAACACCAGTTAACCACGGAAAAAGAAAAAATCAATTGGCACCAAATTCTTTTTTACAACTTTAATAATAATTATATTATATATATATATATATATATATATATATATATATATATATATATATAATTTAATTTGATAATTACTAGGGATAATTCAAAGAAGATATAAATCGAAAGAGAGCTCAATGTAAGAACAGAGCAAATATAATAATGAAGAAATCCATGGTAATAATTTATTTCGTGGAATCAATCCGATTTCATCTCTTCAAACAATTTTACAACAAAAGTCTCCGCTTTCATCATCATTATATATATATATATATATATATATATATATATATATATATATATATATATATACATAAAGTAATGGTTTTTGTTAATCCGACAGATTTGTTATCACTTTCAACGTTATTATTGGCTATTCATAAATAAGTAGACGCACCGTTTTCTTTATTTATTAAACAGTATTTAATCATTTTCGTCTACCGGTCTGTTTGAGAAATCTTATTAAAGATACGACAGTATTCGAACCTGCGTCCCCGTGGATAGAGGAACCTACCATCAAACACGCTCTAACCAACTGAACAACAGAGAACTAGGCCGAAATCTCGCCTTTAAACGGAAGTTCTTTCGTTTTAGCTCTGCTGAACTTTTCATATCTGCAATGTTTCGTATTCAAACAAAAACGGAGCATTTTTTAAAGAAAGTAAAGATTTGTTTTTTAATCCGAGAGAGGGCGGAAAGTTTTCTTGAATAAATTTCCTCAAACATTCAGGCTGGTAGACTAAAATAATATATATATATATATATATTCATGAATTATTCACACAAAAACTAATGCAAAGGTTAATGATTTAATTGGCACTTTGACAGAAAATTTACCAGTAAAAAATTCGTTCATCACCATATTTGTATATGAACGCACAACTTTTAAAAATTTAAAATCAAACTCAGCGTTGCTATTGCGCGCTCCAAAAACAATAACTCATTTCCAATAGCATTTTCGGATACAACAATGCATATATTTTCGTTGTCCTCTTATTACTAAGAGAAAAAAACAAGAACAACATCTATTCTATACCTGAAAGATGTCTGTAGGAACAGACGAAAGCTTGTAGTAAAAAAATAAGAACTAATACGGCAGAAATTTATAGAAACAAGGATCATTTCATTCATAACGGATTCGAGGTTTTTGTATATTATTTGAATTGTTTGCGACGATGGATTTCTCGCCAATTAAATCATTAACCTTTGCATTAGTTTTTGTGTGAATAATTCATGAATTTGTAAATTGATTGCACGTTTATCGTAATATATATATATATATATATATATATATATATATATATATATATTGCGTATTTTTGTATTTTTGGCAGCATGTTTTCATTAAGACATATCGCATTAAATAATTTAGACAAGTTTTATCTACTTATTTTTTAATAGGATCCCTCATAATTAAGGACAAGTTTCTTAGTATCCTTATTAAAGAAAGAAAAAAAAATTACCATGTTGATGCATATTCATTTTTATTACGAGTACTTTCGACATTAGCACAATTATATGTCGAAGTATGATTATAGGGCACTTTCCTACGGTGCCACACGCTGTGAACACTGGGATATATATATATATATATATATATATATATATATATATATATATATATATATATATATATACGGTAGACTCTCCTGTTGTATGAGGGTCAAGCAGCTCAGTTCATAGGAACTGAGCAGCCAGAAAGCGACGGCCAGACACCCGCACATATGATTTAATCATAGTGGTGAAGGCCAACCACACTTTTTGGAGGTCCAAATACAGAGACCTGATTCACTATATATATATATACTATATATATATATACATAACAGAGAAATCACAATGACCTCATGGGTATAGGCTATTTCTGCCAACATCAATATGTTGGCTTTATTCAACTCAAACCTTGAGTTGAATAAACCCAGTCTATTGACTTTGGTAGATATAGCCTATACCCATCAGGTAATTTTGAATTCCATAGGCAACCAGATGTCTAGTTGCACTGATGAGCTGTGATACAGCGAAAGAGTCTGTCTGTGGATGACAATATATATATATATATATATATATATATATATATATATATATATATATAGAGAGAGAGAGAGAGAGAGAGAGAGAAGAGAGAGAGAGAGAATGACAAACAGAAAGAGAGGCTGAGATTCTATAGAGAAAGAGAGAGTGATGGAGGACAAAAGAGATGCTATATATATATATATATATATATATATATATATATATATAGAGAGAGAGAGAGAGAGAGAGAGAGAGTGAGGAGTTAGAGAGAGACGCAAGTAGTGTTGAACTCGAATTAAGTAAGAGATGAAATAAAAAGACGACTAGGCATATAAAAATAAAATCAGGAATATATTCTTTGAGAGTTGCGGACAGAGAAAAAAAACTCGTACGTCAGGAATTATATAAGTTTTGAATTGCATTTGAACGAAATCAGAAAGGGAAATGACAGGCGGCCGCAAAAAAAAACTGTTCAATATGGGATAAGAAATAAAGTTATTTGTGTCGAGTTAGTTTGGCCTTAAAACTGTCACAATATGGACCTGGCTTCTGAGTGGCAAGGGTTAGTACACGCCCCGTACACTTTGGGTCTGTAATACGGTAAAATATTTTGGCACGGGCCCATTTATATTCTTTGTAGCTCGTCCGAGCAGATACTTTTTTTGTTCCAGGTGTGCACACAGTCCAAGCTTACGTTAGTCGACATTTTGACATTAATTTTGTATTTTTACGATTTTTTTCTATCTCCACTGGCTTGCTTAGCCGGAAACAATATTTTCCCCAAAAGCGATAACTACACACACACACACACACACACACACACACACACACACACACACACACACACACACACACACACACACATATATATATATATATATATATATATATATATATATATATATATCGTATTTATCGAACATTTACTCACTCACTAGAATCTGAGGCCAAAATGTTTGGCAGAAAAAAAGATCACTGTACTTGGAAAAACGCTTTTGGATTTATATATATATATATATATATATATATATATATATATATATATATATATATATATATATATATATATATATGCGTGTGCAGTGTGTGTTGATATGTATATAATTTAATCTATATATATAATTTGATCTATCTATCTATCTATCTATCTATCTATCTATCTATCTCTATATATATATATAGAAGTTTTTTTCGAATTGTAATCCTATGCAAAAATTCAGATATAAATAAAATATATCTTTAAAATATATATTTAAAAAGAGAATATGAATAAACGCAAAAGGAAAAATTTTCTTTACCAACGCGTTTCGTTCCATGATAAAGTACTTCAGGTGATGAAACGCCTTGGTAACGAAAAGTTTCTTTCACACACAGCCGTGTAGTACCACACGTCATGGCTCTTCCAGATGCAAATCCAGCTTGCAGTGGACACATGGCCCAGTGGATAAAGGCGTCCGTTGCATCCAGTGACTTGACCCAAAGTGTTGTGATTTCAATACCTGGTTATTGCAGTTGTGAACAAAAACTTGAAGGGTTGAGTTAGACCTCCGGGAGAGGCATGCCACATGAAACTAGAATATTCTATACCGGTGGACTGAAGAAGGCCGGAGCGTGCAACTGCCGAAACATCGTGAATATGGCATATGGCAACAAAGGTGAGGATAACAATCCGAACAATGTAAATAGTATATATATATATATATATATATATATATATATATATATATAATAAATATGGTCTGTTAAAAATAAAAAGAACGAACATCGAGCTCTCTGTGGATCAGTTTTAATAATTAATATTACTAGCCTCCACCAGGATTATATACCAACGGATCGATTACCTGTACTATATATATATATATATATTATAATTCGAAAACGCTTTGGAGTTATACTCATACACACGCAAAAACATACACACACACACACACACACACACACACACACACACATATATATATATATATATATATATATATATATATATATATATATATATATATATAAATACCAAAGCATTTTCAGGTGCTGTGATTATTGCTGGATAAATTTTGGGGCACGCGTTTTCGTGAAGGGGTAACTGTTCGCAAAATTTCACACACGCCCGCGTACACACACACGCACCCATACGCGCACACACATGCATATATATATATATATATATATATATATGATGTAATTTGGACAACGATTGTCCATCAACTGAGTGACAGAAAAAATGTCATAAATAAAATATATAAAAGTGACAATTTAAGAAAAACAGAAATATGAAATGCTATATAAATAAATAAATAAATAATAATATTATTAATAATAAAGGGTTTGCCAGTCTTTTTTTTTATGGGCTCTTTTGTAAATGTCGGGCCCGCTCTCACTGACGTCCCCTTGGAACCCTTCCTCAATTCATGCCAGTGGCTGCTGACATATCTTTTTTAGAAGAAAGAAAGAAAAAAAAAATAAGTCTTGGCAAAATTCTTCGGTCTCCTTCCAATCCTCTCATCTTTTGACCTAGCGATCCATTTACGCGGAGGATGTTGGATTTATATATACTTGAGCAATTACCACACGGAAAATAAAGATGAAAACAGTAATGAGATAGAGGGTATAAAACTGTTATCAATACACGTATTTATTCAAAATTGTGTAGCAATTTTTTTCTCTATTTTTCTCTATTTGCGCTTTTAAATCCCACTTTCTAAAAATAGACATTTATCTGTGTCCACCTTCAATCTGTCTTTCTCTCTCTTTGTATACATATCCCGCTCTGTATAGATAAAAGAAACGCCAATACATACATACATATCCCACCCAACAAAATGAGGTTGTTCCAAAGTTTGTACAACGTTACATCTTATCCTTTATATGCTGTGTTCTTTTAAGACCCGGATAATCACGGCTCTCCCTAACTTCCTAACTTTCATAGCTCTTAGTAAAGTTTGTTCTTTTTTTTTACCAACCCTCTCACTCTGCGATCCATTTACAGGTCAGTTTGCTATTTTCCTCTGTCGCCCATTTGCCTTCAATATGCCTTGTGAGTGTCAAATTCGCCAAGCCCTCTTTCCTCATTATGCATCTTAGAAATTTTGACTTTCTTTTTGATTCAAAATAAGTTAAAACACCGGTTCCCGTACGAGCACCACAGTTAAGCAACGCAGAGACTGGACAGTACCTATATGCGTGACCGCTTGGGAATACCTGATGTTGTAAGCTTGGATGTGCAGGTGGTGTAATGGATAATGACTCGGAATTGTTAATCGGAGATCCGAGTTCCAATTTCAGTTGGGTTCGTTATATTCACTTACGTGCAAATAACCGTGGGAAATGTATGAATCCGGCTCTTTTCCTCTCAACTATGGGTTAATTAGTAAGACTTGTATCACTAAATCATTGTTATCTATAAAATAACTTCAAAGGGTTGATAAGACACAAAAAAGATTTTAAAAAATATCGAATCCGCACCACGAAAGAGTGGCCCATCGAATCGATCCTTTCCAAGTGGAGAACTCTGTTCCGCCGAGAGGTGTCAGAAAAGGTACCACAGAGATAACTGGCTTGTGGCGGCCAAGCGTTCGTAGCGACGTCGCTTTTTGATCCTTCGATGTCGGCTCTTCCTATCATTGCGAAGCAGAATTCGCCAAGCGTTGGATTGTTCACCCACTGACAGGGAATGTGAGCTGGGTTTAGACCGTCGTGAGACAGGTTAGTTTTATCCTACCGATCGGCACGTGTGTTACGTCGGCCGTGGCCACGGCTATCCCGTCCAGTACGAGAGGAACCGCGGGATCGGAGCAACGGTTCGCGTGCTCGCTCGAACGAGCGGCGGTGCCACGCTGCCTCCGCGCGATAACGGCTGAAAGCCGGAACCGCGACTGTTACAAATACATTCACTTTATGTTTAAATTTTTAAGGAGTTACTGCAAATGAAAGACACCCAATGCTAAACATGAAACAAGGGATACACCTCTACTCCTGTTGAAAAGACCGAGGAAGAGTGTGAACGGGGCGATAGGCGTACCAGTTAAGTGTTTTGATTTGTTTTACGGCATATCAACCTCAATAGGTCATTTAATGCCGACAAAATTTTTATTGCTGGTAATGTTTTCCTTCAAAAATCTATTTTTGGGAATATTTTTCCTTGAAGAAATCTATAGCTGGTCATATTTTTTTCAAAGAATATATAGCTGTTTGTATTGCTGGTATTTTTTGAAGTATTGCTGATAATTTTTCCTTGAAAAATTATTGCAGGTAATAATTTTTTTATTACAAAGTATTTCTGGTATTAAAACCTATTTTTACATAAGTTTGGGTGTTAACTATTTGCCCATAGCTTGTACCCTAACAGGTGCTACTACCCCAGGTCAGCGTGGACCTGGAAACACCAGCGATTAAGAGGTGGTTCCACGCTCCTCAAAACTTCCTGATCAGAGGCCTTGCTGCTGGGTGTAATTTATCGTCTTACCCAGGACGCGGATGTAGTTTATCGTCTTACCCAGGACGCGGATGTAGTTTATCGTCCCTTTCAAAAGACAGGCGAGAAGTGTAAACCGGATGATAGGCAAACGTATCTACTTCTGTTGAAAGAAAATGGATAAAAATTCCAGGAAGGCATGAACTCGCATTCACCATCAAATTTAGGGATTCTCAAAAATAATGATGCTCAATTAAAAAAAATGCTAAAATGCATTTTATATCTTCTATATATATATATTATTAAGTGATGTAAACGTATTCTGGTATCATAATTAACCAGTGCGGAGCTTTTGTTAAGACGTTTGGGATGAACAGTCATTTTGGGGTCTGGAAAATAGCTGATTGCAGGAGATTGAAGGGGGTCGAAAGTAATTGGGTCAACAAAAAATACGTCGCCTTCCTTGATGAATTTCAACTTTAAAATCAAGAAGATAATTAGTGAACTAGAAAGGATTATTATGAAAATAGACATAATATAACTATCTTATTTAATGAAACATCCTCGAATATATATATATATATATATATATATATATATATATATATATATATATATATATATATATATATATATATTCGGGCAACAGATCATTATTGAAACATATTGTTACATATAACAGACAACGAATGTCTATTATGTTTGATCATGAGCCGTTCTAAGCTTCGTATAATGGGTTTTATTTTCGGGAGAAAATAGACAAACATTTGGATATTTTTTATTAAACTGTTTCTCGATCTAATCAGAAAAAATGCTATCAGGTAAATATATGGATTGATTGATATAAATTGAGAGAGAGAGAGAGAGAGAGAGACGGGGAATGAGTGATATATATATATATATATATATATATATATATATATATATATATATATATATATATAATTACATCTCAATTATATCTCTGGCCAGAGCTCAATTAGGTCCCATTTATATACACATGGAGACCTACCAAACCCCATTCACAATATACGCGTTGATATACAAAAATAATAAACTCATTCACATATAAAAAGGCTAAAAATAATGGAGGCATTATTAATAAATGATAAGTCCAAGACCCAATAATATCTAATATGAACACAGCTACAATGAGCTGACCCTGTTTGAAAAATAAAACATTCCTATAACACTAGATACACACATAATACAAGCCATACATTCAGTTAAAAGTAAAAATAAAATAAACCTTGATAATGGCAAAAAGTATAGCCGAAAGCGCTTGGACATACAGAACATTCGGGTAATTTCTACATAATTAAATTTAGAAAGGTTGAAAATTATAAGAACACAAGAAAAATTAAATAAAAAACTTTACCACAGCACCTTATCATTAGCTTTTAGAGAAACTTATATATATATATATATATATATATATATATATATATATATATATATATATATATAGGTCAGTCAATCTAACAGTGATCTCATCCCACAATCCTCACACCCCATATGTGGCCTCCTTTGTAAATCACTAGCGGGTCTTAAGTGCTACTTAAGATTATCGCACAAAATTTCATAACTGAATCAATAAGCTGTCAGATCTTCATACGTCGAAACCGACGAGAGTCCATATATATATATATATATATATATATATATATATATATATATGTATTAAAAAGAAAGAAAGTAACATAATATATATATATATATATATATATATATATATATATATATATATATATATATAATTTTTAAATAATTTAAGTAATTCTATTACATTTATTTGAAAGAGAAATATTGTCTATTAGTAATTAAGAGTAAAAATAATATATTAAATTTGTAGTTCAATATAACGTATTCTAACCCAAACACCCCTTTTAGAAAGAATCTTTATGTATACAAGTACGAATTTAACGAAGAAAAATACCAAAAAACTTTTTGTCGTTAATAAAAAAAAAGATACATGACATGCGTTGAACGGATGTCAAAATTCGTTGAAAAATGCACCCCTACCCTACCTAGATTTAACCTCTTTTTTCGAACGTAACTCATAATGATACAATAATAGTTAATAAAAATGAATAAAATATCGCCCCTGTCTAAATGATTGGATTTCTCTGTATCCTTGGAAACAAAAATTATGAATTGTATGTGCGTTTAAAACTCAGTAAATTTAAAAATAAGTTATTCCAAAATTCGCTTGAAGATGAAACAGAACTAATGCTTTTAATTTAATTATATAATTAAATTTGAAGTTTTTAGCTTCGGTTTTTGAAACATGGTAATCCCTGTGTAGCGAAGGCACCATATTTTTAAATCAGCTAATATATATATATATATATATATATATATATATATATATAAAGCTTATGAAATATATATATAAGAAGCTTATGAAAATTTTCTCGGTAATTTCGAAATCCTTAAAAATGTTTTCTTTTAATATTATTTACAAATAATTTCTTGAATTAAATATATCAGCATTGGAATTTTGGTCATTGACAGAACCTGACGGGATTTGTTTCCAATTCACACTGAACTAACTACACTTTAAGCCATTCTACCATCTTCAAATGATATACTGAGGTCAGTTTATCAAAATATGTCAACACTCTCTGCCTTTTCCCACTCTCTAAATAAAATAGCAATATTTCTTGATTTTAACCCCGTATATTTTTCCATTTCATTTGTGATCTGTTTTTAGATCTTGAAGATTGAGATTGTTTTTTTAGAGCTCTCATTAAATAAAAATTATTACTATAGGGTTTTAAATGTTTGATACTTTTTAATTAAAAATATGTGTATATACATGTATATATGTGTGCGTATGTGTGTTCATAACAAGACACTTTTTAAAATATTATTTACAGAATTTGTTGAATGAAACACAGGGAATTAATCCCGATCTAAATTTTCCTTAGTTTAAAGTACATTCATAACCTGCTAAATATTAATAAATACATTTAGGATATAAAAGTTCAGGATTTTACGTATATAATCTTTATAAATATGATTCTCTGAATATAATTAATAAGCATTTAATTCAAATCTCTTAGGTATTTTAATTTAAATTTCTTGGTTAATTATATAAAAAGCTTATGGAATTTTTTTTCGCTAATTTCGAAATCTTTAAAAATGTTCTCTTTTAAAATTATTTACAAAAAAATTATTATATGAAATATATCAGCATTGGAATTTTGGCCATTGACAGAACAGGCCGGGATTGTTTCCAATTCACACTGGACTAACTACAATTTAAGCCATTCCACCATTTTCAAATAACTTACTGAGGTCAGTATATCAAAATAGGTCAACATTCTCTGTCTTTTCCCACTCTCTAAATAAGATAGCAATATCTCTTGATTTTTAATCCGGGGTAAATTTTTTCCATTTCATTTGTGATCTGTTTTTAGGTGGTCTTGAAGATTGAGAGCCGCTTCTTTAGAGCTCTCGTGAAATAAAAATTATTACCAGTGGAATTTTAAGTGTTTGATATTCTTTAATTAATAATAATTTTGCACTGTCATTTGATATAGAGCTATCCCTGGATCTAAATCCTCCTGAAAATTCCTTACAGGTTAACATATTGTATCATTACTATATATATATATATATATATATATATATATATGTGTGTGTGTGTGTGTGTGTGTCTGTGTGTGTGTGTGAAATGTGTATGCATATAAATTTAAATATATATTATATATGCAATTTTTTATATATATTATTTATATATTACGCATGTGTGATACTTATTGGAAAGCGCTCAATATAAGTGATGGAGCTAACATATTTAGTTGAATTGATCTGAGTTTGTGACCTTGGGTTTCACGCTATTTGCGATCGTCAGGCAAAGTGATTAATTTTTGAATTTTGGATTTATATATGGTTGCGTATATCGGTGTTTTTTATGGAAGTGGGAGGAAAAATTGTCGACGGAACGCCACTCATACTTACACAAACATACATACACGCACGTACACTCATTGACGTACGCAGACATACACACACGCACGCTCACTCACCGGAGCTCGCATAAACATAATCATAAACATTTGTGAACAGTGTGGAACTGCGCAAATATGCGCACATACGTACGCATTTGGTCGCTGTATTCAATGTTGGATTGTGTAGCGAATATTTTTTTTGTTTGTTGCGCTTTCAACGCGCAGACCGTTAATCTATTTTTGTTCGCTGAATAATATTTTCTCGCACGCACGTATATACGTATCATGGGGTCTGTGTAAGACTATGATAGGTAAAAATTGCTATTATTTTTATTTTTTTAAGGCTGTTTATATATATAGTTTTAAGGCTATATATATATATATATATATATATATATATATATAAACCTAGAAACCAGACAAACCTACCAAGGTTTCATCTAAGCCTTCAGCCTTTCCTGACGATCCGCTTAGGTGAAACCATGGTAGGTTTGTCTGGCTCTTTAGGTTTAACTAGGTCTGCTCTACTTACTGTATTGAGCACTTTATTTAGTAATTTTGCTTATTCGTATTGGTTTTTTTTCTTTGAACTTTGGACTTGCATGCTAGACAATTGTTTTCGGCTAACGGACATGTTCTTGGTTCTTTCTTTTTTATACCTTTTTTTCCCTTTGGTATTGGTTTTATTATTTGCAAATCAAAACACTGAAGGTTTTCGGAACGAGTATAATTTTTTATACTTATAAGATTACTACTACTACTATATATATATATATATATATGAAGAAAAATATATACGGAAAAAACAAACAAAAATCCTTATATACAATTATGCTGTTTTAATGTTAATATGTCAACGTCGGACGTTTCGGTCTAATAAACCATCTTCCGGACATATTCATAAATTATAACATTATCAATACAACATGACAAAGACGATGTGCATAAGAAAAAGACTTATCCAAACAGAATAACAGAAAGTTTATATATATTTATATATATATATATATATATATATATATATATATATATATATATATATATATATAGATATATTGTCATCCACAGACAGACTGTTTCGCTGTATCACAGCTCATCAGTGTGGATAGACATCTGGTTACCTCTAGCTAGGATCGGAACCCGACTGAATTAGCATCAGTTGGGGATTCTACCACTAAGCCGTTGGCGCACGGCAGTGATGAAAGTGAATTTAAGTGTATTTATTTTTAGATAAATACACAGTGACTGAGAGAACTCAATTCGATTTATCGAAGAGTCTTGCATTATTAGCCGTAATAGTCACTGTTTACAAACCCACACTTCCTCCTCAGAGAGCTCAACCGAAATAAATTTTTCAGGAGCATATATATAGTCATCCACAGACAGACTGTTTCGCTGTATCACAGCTCATCATTGTGGCTAGACATCCGGTTGCTACATATATATATATATATATATATATATATATATATATATATATATATATATATATGTATGTTGCATGTGGGGTTAACATCCGTTACTTCACTGTTATGGAATTTAGTTAGTAGCTTACTATTGTGGGCTGAGATGATTTTCTCTACATTGTTAATACAAGACTAACTAATTTTAAGTGATTTTCTATTAAAGATTTTTGATAAAGGATTTTTGTCCTCAAAATGTTTATTAGTTTTAAGAAGAAATGACCGATACTAATATTGAAAAGTTTGTAGTAGGCTGGGTTGAACTTTTGACTTTTCTTTTTCTGTTTTTAGAGTTTTTAGAATTTAAGTTCTTAGACTCATCTTAGAAGTGTAACTCTTATTTAAACTTGCTATTTCTTAGTGCTTTGTTGTATATAAATTTTCTCTCACTAAAAACGTTTTATTTTGTTGGAGGATAACCTGCTAATTCTTGAGTTGACTGTTTTTGGTATGTGTTCTATAATTGACTTCGCGGGGTTAGAAAGGACATTAATGTAGATGGGGGTTTGATCTTCTTTTAAGAAGGGTTTAAAGTCGTTGTTAGAAAGGTTAAGAGTGATATCAAGAGAGCTGACTATTTTTTAGGTTAGAATATATATCTTGAAACCTAAAAACTTGAAAATTTAATAATCTTTTTGTATAGTTTTAAAGTCCAATTACTATTTGGAACAATCATTAGGCCTAAAGTCAGAGTCCTTTAGTTTGAACACCACATCTAACATTTATATTTTTGTTCTGTTTTAGTAACCCGGATATAAGAGACCCGGATATAAGAGAAACCCGGATATAAGAGAAACCCGGATATAAGAGAGATTTTATCTGGTCCCAAATTAGAGCCTGTGTTAATGTATATAAAATAGACCAAACCTGGATATAAGAGAAACCCGGATATAAGAGACTTCTTCTCCGGTCCTGACAACTCTCTTATATCCGGGTTACACTGTACTAAATTTCTGTCCTTTGCTTTTGTTTCAAATAGCTGTAACAAACATCCCAACAATTAATTAAACTGTACCAAATTTCATTTTTTTTTGTTGTGGGGGTGGGGGATCCTGTACAATGGGTAGATGGAACTCCATAGCCGTAGTGGAGGCAGTCCATCTTTGAGAAGAGAAACTCTAATGAAACCAGGAGTAAGCCGTTTAAATCAGCTGCCATTGGAATACAGGATGGCAGCCATGCGTAGACGGCCTTACATGCTAAACTATATATTTGGCTTTTACGCCACCTTCGCGGGGGATAATACGCATATCTGTGAACATAGTTCGGGAAAAAACTATCAGTAAATCTGACACTGCTACTCTCTATAGGAATGGCGAACCGTAGATGAGTCCAAAGTCACTGAAAGATGAAGATGAGTATCACAAATAATGGAAAACAATCCACAGCAAAGTACATGAGAATTAACAAAGCTGTTAAACACATCCTAGTCTATCATATGGCGACAGTTAGAAAAGACTGAAAAGATTAGAAAAATCAGAAAGCTTTAGTTCCAGTTCTTTACTCTTTTGTCGAAAGGAGTAAAGCGGATCGTTGTTAAACAAAAATGGAAATTATTTATGACCCAATAAACATAATATCTATCTATCTATCTATCTATCTATCTATCTATCTATCTATCTATCTATATATCTATATATATATATATATATATATATATATATATATATATATATATATATATATATATATATATAATGGTGGCACCTCGAGGCGATATAATGGTTATCAAGCTTGTCTTACTAGAACAATTATAACTGAGCAGTGAGTTTGATCGTCACGGGGTGCCCCCATATCTTCGGCTTTTGCCACATCTAAGCTGCGCTTGGAAAATCACTATATATATATATATATATATATATATATATATGTGTGTGTGTGTGAGGGAGAGAGAGAGAGAGAGAGAGAGAGAGAGAGAGTGTGTGTGTGTGTGTGTGTGTACCGGGTGTAACAACAAAATTGTCCAAATCGTGTATAAAGCAAAATTGTATAATTGTTATATTAAGCTTTGAACCGTTGTGTCTTAGAAATGATTAAAGATATCTTAATGGAATTCTCCGAGGTTTTTATAACACTACTTGACTCTACTTTGAACAATAAGAATGTATTTAGCTCTGCGTTGAAATGATGATCCCTCTTCCCATCGTGACCTGATCCAGTTTTCCTCTCTACTGTTTCCTTCTTTTCAAAACTTATTCACCATTCTCTTTATGGTACTTGAATGAACTTTGGAGATGGAAGACAGGGTATGAATATTGGTATCATTACTGAAGGCCTGAATGATCTTTTTCCTCTCAACATTGCTCAGTTGGGAAGATATAGTGGGGCTGACACGAAATGATTTTAGCCTGTCCTCTTTCTAACTATTCTTTCTGAATAACTCAAAGGGATTTTCAGTGATTATTACAACAAATGGTATCAAGATGGCTAAGAGTCTTATCTGAAAACCTGGGAAAAAGAAACTAAATTAGTTTAGTGTTTTTTTTTGTTTTGCGATAGTAAACATTTTGTGGGATGGACAATTATCGCATGCTGTTACACGATTTGTACATTTTTGCTGCTACATCTGGTATATATATATATATATATATATATATATATATATATATATATATATATCTGTGTGTGTGTGTGAGTGTGTGTGTATGTATGTTTGTATGTGTGTCTAAAATAGGATATAGAATCACGACAAAGTTTTAAGAAATTGGACAAATGAAAAACCGTTTTACAGAAACTAGATTTTATTACACGTTTCGCCTTTCTAGGCTTCATCATATCCCAAATGAAAGAAATGTGTGTGTACTTGCATGTATGTTTAAATGATAGATCATTATTACTTTTTCCGCGAAGATGGCGTTTCTCGTGATGAAAGAAAAAAATGAAGATGAGTATCATCGGAAAAAGCCGTTAATATTTATTCTGTATCTTTTCTTGGTTCATGTCGAATGTTATTAATATATTCTTCCAGTTTTTCTGCATTGATAATTCAAATATAATAGCCTCAAACACATGTAAAAAGGCTAAAAATAATGGAAGCATTTAATAAAAAAGAAAAAAGCCAACGATCAATGACATCAACTATGAACTGTGTGCTGACCGTGTTTGGAAAATAAAACTATCCTTTAATTGTAGATACATGCATAAAAAATCGATACATTCAGTTAAAGACAAAAATAAAATTATCCTTGATAATCGGTAAAAGAGTAGCCGAAAGCGCTTGGACATTTAGAACATTTGGACGATTTCTACATAATTTACGTCCAGAAAAGAAGAAAAGTATAAAAAGAAGACAAGAAAAATTAAATAAAAACTGTACATTGTATATATATATATATATATATATATATATATATATATGCATGCGTGGATATTTATTTATCAATGAAGGTTAACCTTATTGTCTACAAAAGACTTATTTGTTAAATTCAGAATTTGAAATCGATTGGAATGTCGTAGAAAGATCAAATTTCTCTCTTTTCAATTTCATTATCTATTTTTATTATCTACCCGCCTTCTTTGATCTTTGCTTTCAACTTGTTGTTTACTTGCTATCCTTCCGGGGAAATTCCAAGGGTCATTGTTGTGATCGATTTCATGGATTTGGATTAAAGTCGAAGGCTGGCTGCTGACTGTAGCAGGATCCGAGATGATCCATTAAAATCGAAATCAGGTGACCTGACCTAGTTGATAATCGGTTAATTATCAATTTTTACTGGCTCCTGACCGGTCGTCACTGTAAATGCCATAGGTCGAGTCGAGGCATGATATTAAAAAAAAAATAGGCGGGGGGGGGGCGGAGATATCTTATTACATGCAGGGAAGGCAATAAAGAGCGAAAGAAAGAAAAAAATGGAGAGCGCGCGCGCGTGAGAGAGAGATAGAGAGAGAGGGGAGGGAAGGTAGGGAGGGGCATAAGCGTAAAAACATCACGAGAGAGAGAGAGAGAGAGAGAGAGGGTGAGAGAGATAGGGAGGGAGAGAGAGACGTACAAACATCGTCATAAATCAGAGAGAGAGAGCAGAGAGAAGGAAGTGTAAAAGCGTTGTCATGCGAGTGAGAGAGAAAGAGAGGGAGAGGGGAGAGAGGGAGGGGGAGAGAGAGGCGTAAAAACATCGTTTCGTGAGAGGAAGAGGGGGAAGAGTGAGGTGGAAAAACATCGTCAGCTGAGAGAGAGCGAGAGAGAGAGAGAGAGAGAGGGGGTAGGGAAGGTAGGGAGAAGCATAAGCGTAAAAACATCATCACGGGAGAGGGTGAGAGAGATAGGGAGGGAGAGAGTGACGTACAAACATTGTCATGAATCAGAAAGAGAGAGAGAGCAGAGAGAAAGAAGTGTAAAAGCGTTGTCATGCGAGTGAGAGAGATAGAGAGAGAGGGAGAGAGAGGGAGAGAGAGGGAGAGAGGGAGGGGGAGAGAGAGGGAGAGAGAGGGAGAGAGAGGCGTAAAACATCGTCAGCTGAGAGGGAGAGGGGGAAGAGAGGTGTAAAAACATCGTCAGCTGAGAGAGAGAGCGAGAGAGAGAAGGAGAGAGCGAGATAGAGAGAGAGAGAGAAGGAGAGAGCGAGATAGAGAGAGAGAGAGAAGGAGAGAGCGAGATAGAGAGAGAGAGAGAGAAGGAGAGAGCAAGAGAGAGAGCTTTGAAGGTAAAAGGGAGACGACGCACTCGAAGTAGACTTTTAACCAAGGATCATCTAAAACGAGAGAAAATTGGGAGCAAAAAGTTTACTAGCAGAGGTTAGGTTTTCATTATGCGAAAATTATATATATATATATATATATATATATAGTTTTTCGTATGGGAACGCTTTTACGTACATATTGTTTTAGATAAACCAACAAACATAATGTCTAATAGACACACGCATACACACACTCACACAGACATATACATACACAAACCTACGAATATACATTATTGTCTTAATCTAACATAGGCAAACAAGAATTATTTTACTCTTATATATATAAACCAAGATTTACGGCTTTTCAGTTAGTTTTGGAATCCGTTCATTTCTTGAAACTTCGAAGGGACGTGTCGTCTCTCCTTTAATTACAAAAGCCACAAATTATACTAACGTTTATTTAACAAGTCGAATGAACGTGAAACGGGATTAACCAATGAAAATCAAAGAACACAAAAATCAAGAATACCAGAATTTCTTCCTCTTTTTCTCCACATCTCATTCTCCGATGAAGCTTTTAAAAGTGAAACATGTTAGACTGATAAACGTTTTCTATTTGTTCTTTCTTATTCTATCCGATTCCGATCCATATTTGATTCCAATTATATATATATATATATATATATATATATATATATATATATATATATATATAATTATTTATTTAAAAATATGATTCCAACACGCTAAATCATATTTTTAAATAAATAATTATATTTATGCTCTACTTTTGTATCGAGCACTATTTTTTAAAAATAATAACAAAAATACTAAAGAACTTTGGATTATTTACCTAACGAGTTCTTTCCTATTTTCTATATATTTTCACACACACACACACACACACACACACACACACACACACACACACACACACACACACATATATATATATATGCTTATTTCTCTCTCTCTCTCTCTCTCTCTCTCTCTCTCTCTATATATATATATAAAGATGAAACGGAACAAATGCCTTTAATTTAATTATATAATGCCTGTGTATACATATATATATATATATATATATATATATATATATATATATATATGTGTGTGTATATATATATGCTTATTACTGTCTGTATATATATATATATATATTATTACTGTGTATATATATTACTGTGTATATACATATATATTTTATTACTATATATATATATATATATATATATATATATATATATAAATAAAAAGATGAAACGGAACTAATGCCTTTAATTTAATTATATTGTTAAATTTAGAGTTTTTAGCTTCCATTTTTTGAAACATGGTTATTATTCTGTAGCGAAAAAAACATATTTTCAATCAGTTAATTTTATATATATATATATATATATATATATATATATATATATATATATATATAGGGTGTGTATAAAGTTCGTGTGTACTTTAACGTTAGAAATCATTTAAAGTGCTTACGAAATTTATGGACATCCTTTATATGCATCCATTATTTTTTTAATCTATGCTATAACTCTGGCAGTTTGGAATATAAAGAAATATTAGATAAACTGATATTTGGTTAAAAAATTTAATAAAAATGGAAATCACTAAAAATATTCGTACAGTACCGCAATGCCTTGCCCAAAGCAAAAACACTGACAGAATTACCTATGCTGATACGCAAAAGTGCACAATACACAAAGAAGAAGGAAATACCTAAAGAGACAGAAGCCTAAGTTTTCCCAACTGGATCATCATGATAATTCTAACTAAAAAAGTCTTTTTATTCTGCTAGCCACTCTATCAATAAAATGTCGTTTGGGCAGTCAGAATTATCCTGATGACCCGTTAGGTGAAACCTAGGTAGATAGGTTCTGACTGATTCTTTAGGTATTCTTATATATACATACTAGCAGTAGAGCCCGGCGTTGCCCGGGGATGTAAGAGATAGATCAATTATCGACCATCATAAAGACTGAAAAATAAAATTGACAAAGATTATTTTTTAAGGTTGACGGACTCGCATGTCTTAATTAGTTTGTTTTTTTTCAAACAAAAACATTGTTTTCAATTGTTATGAGTCTACTGATTGAATAGAATTTTATTATAAACAATTGTCTTGTAAATGGAATTTTTAAAGCATTCTAAATGTAAAAATAAAGAAAAAAAGTGTGCAAGACAATAAGAAACACTACCTGCCAAAAAAAGTGAAGTTTTGTTGAAATCGGTTGAAAAATGTAGGAAATCCGACCCCATATATAAACGAACACACACACACACACACACACACACACAAAACCTGGGTTTTATAATAAGTATAACTCGATATAGTGTTGTCCCCCTTTCATTCTCGCGACAGCGATGTCTCTTAATCGTATTTTCAAATTGATTTCATGCAAAAACAATTGTGTTTTCCAATTTTTGACACTGTCAGAACCACCGCAAGGTAATTTTACGTAGTCCTGTGAAGTTTTGTTGAAATCGGTAGAAAAATGTGGGAAATCCGATCCAATATATAAACGAACAGACACACACACACAACCTAGGTTTTATAATAAGTATGATATATATATATATATATATATATATATATATATATACATACAGTGGGGGAAATAAATATTCGTACACTTGAAAAATTGTATTTTTATAAATTTAAAAGCCTTAAATAAAACAAATCGCAGCACATTTTATGTATAAAGACACATACTATTAAAAAATAATAATAAACTTAATTCTTATTCTAACAGAAATTAATGCAATTTTTTATAATTAAATAAGGGTTTTTAATTAATAAGGGTTAGGTAGTCACGGTCTGTGAGAAAAAATTGCACCATGACGCAATTCATTCTGATAGAAATTTGGAAACGGCATGCTGTACTGCTTGGCCTTCGCGCCGGGCGCTCCAATACGAACATTTCAGAGTTTGATGAGTTTAATGGTGATTACGAAGGTACGGCAGCCTGAAGAAACAACTCTGATCGTTCTGATAAGAAAAGAACTTCCGAATTTGTTGATGAAGGCCTCAGACTCAATACGAAAGCCTACATTAAATGCCTTGAGGAGGTACTGCAGCTCTGGATAAAGAAGATGGCTGCTGGAAGACACTATGTCTGGAAACTGGACTCTACACCATGCCACACAAGCAGGAGAACCCAGACAATTTCTGCCATTAAATCACTCCTTACATCTGGTTACCTAACTCTCCAGACTGCACCCCCCTTGATTATTATGTGTGGGTCGCTGTTGAGTTAGAGACCAAAAAAAAACTGATTGTAATACTAAAGATAAACTGAAGACAAGCATTATAGCAGCATTCAACAACTTAAACAAGGAGACCGTCCAGGAGTGTTGAAGGAGATTCCAATCTCGTCTGGAGGCCGCGGTTGAAACTAATGTCGATTTTATTTTTACTGTTTAGTATTTCAAGATATTTTTATCTTATGTTGGTAAATATATCTGTTAAAATGAAATATCAGTTTTATTTTCATTTTTGAGACGACAATTTTTTCCATTGCACCCTATATATATATATATATATATATATATATATATATATATATATATATAATTGTGCAAGTTTAATTAATAAACATCCGGACAGTTTTACGATGTCCAGAGAAAAAAAATTATACGCACAAAAGAAAAATTGAATAAAAAGCTGAGTCGCAATACCTTGTATGCCGTCTTTAATGAAACTTGTAGAAAAAGATGCCCAAATACACACAATATATATATATATATATATATATATATATATATATATATATATATATATATATATATATATGAATTTAGGTAAAAATGACAGCGGTAAAAATGGCAACGGAAAAAAATGGCAGGGTAAAAATGGAAACGGTAAAATGGCACCGGTAAAAATGGCAAAAGTGGATAAATAGGTAAAAATGGCAACGGTAAATAATGGCAAAAATGGATAAATAAGAAAAAATGGCAAAAGGAAAAAAAATATAAATGGATATCTCACAATGGGTTTATTAAAATCTTGGATACAATACATAATGGAAAAACATGAGAAGTTTGTCAAATTAAAAAGAATATTCAGCTAAGGCTCCCCCTTCCCATGAGATTTTACTTTTTAGACGATTACGTCTGAACACACTAAAAAAGTTGGGAAAAAACAATTATAGGTCCACTTGATGAAACCGAAAAAAACAAAACAATAAAACATTAATTATTTCAGAGGTTATCAGACAACGACAGGGTCAGACAAATTTAAAATCTTGTCTGATGCGTTTCAATCTTTTAATACTCAAGTGTGAAGTCTCTGAGATGCATCATATACACATTAAGCAAATAGGTCTGAACAGAAATTCAAAAAGTTTGCTGAGGGAATAGGCTAAGTGAACTCTAGAATATTTACTTCGTTTACCATAATTTACCAATAGAATAATTAAATTAGACTCTGAGAGTCAATACGAAATCTGTGAATGGGATTCCTAAATTTCGCCTTTGCGATTTTTCCGA